AAAAAATAATAGAATATAATTTTATTTTTATATTTCAAAATCACAATAATCTTCCAATTTAGAACTACAAGTTAAAAAAAAGAACTAAACACAAATAAAATACACTTCAGCTAAATACTAATAATTTATTTTCCCAAACCACGCGGAGCCGCAGTATAAGGACAAAAGAGCCGCATGCGGCTCCAGAGCCGCAGGTTGCCGACCCCTGTCCTAGCTGTTACAGTGCAGTGCAAAGAATTTCTTCACTAGGAACAGACCACAGATCAAGTCAGAAATCAGGAGCTCTTAAAGTTGTTATGAATGCACATATGGAAAAGAAATACAAACAATTAAAAAAAATATTTAGAATCCCATCTGGTAGTACAATGTTTCTCTCTGTTACTTTTCCATATGGGTGGCCTCAGTGTGGAGTGGATTAAGAGCTAGCTGCAGTAGCAGAGAGACGTGATACTGTAACAAGAGATGTGGAGTTGTAACAAGAATGAAAAAGGAAGAGAGGTTCAAACGCAGCCTGTCTTCACTGCGCTGGACAGATGGATAATCCTCATGTGAAGTGGGTGTGAATGTTAGTTTGTTGGTATTGGAAAGTTCTGCAGATGAGTGTCTAATCAGACTGTTTGAGCAGTTTAGCGTTCAGAGGGATTTCTTTGAGGCCTCAGGCAGCAGTCGGTGACCACCGGTTGCTATGTGAAAATGAATATTACCTGACCAGCTGTGAAGGGTTCTGCTAATTGTCGGTGTGAAATCAATTGCTAAAGCCTTAACCACAAAGGCCTAGAGACTGGTAAGTGACTTCCTGGTAACCAGTTGGGGAGTGGTTTCTGGAGGTTGCCGTCACTAGTGTGAAATCTGTTGCTAAAGGGTATATGGTGCTGATCCAAAAACCTAATTGAAATTAGTAGTTAGCAGATTCCCAAGGTTGCCCATAGTTTGCATGAAGGTGTTGACTTATCTGCAAATACTTGCAAACTACTTGCCACAGTGAAACTGTGAAAAGTACAACATAAACCAGAAATGGAGAATGTTGGCTTCAAAGTAAAAGTGCCATCCAGATCCACTGCAGCCTGTTGGTAAGAGTGAGAAAAGAGAGCGAGGATGACTCTTCTTGATCTTTATGTTCATGACACGAGGTTGCTGATGCCAGTAATCTTGCCCATTTGTTTATTTTGTTTTTGCTGTTTCTTTATCCTTCCTTTATTTGTGCAAAATAAAGGCACAAATAGATAATAAAACTAAACCTGGACTCTCTTTATTAATCTACTCACTGCACGTCATGTAAAATACTACAAAACATGCTTAGTTCACTCCAGTTGAGACATTTAGGAGATAATGCTGTTTTTTTCTTTTGTCTTCATGAAAGAGTTATTCTCCCTTTCTTTATGAGGTTTTTAGACAGTGGATGCCAGGGGTCACTAGGCCACAGTCTCCCCCAGGACACAAGCTTGTGTGTCAGCTGGAGGGAAACAAATATCTGGTCCAGGGAACTAGAGAAAGAACTGTTCTTTGATGGCCTCAGTCACCATCTGTGAAAGGTGAAAAAAAAGCAAGATGAGAAAGAGAGATACAAGGTAATTCTGTTGAGTATGTTATAATGGGAGAGACAAAAGTAAAAGAGAGCTCAATAGCATGGTATTAGAAAAAAAGAGCACAGAAGGGATGTGTATATGTGTAAATGCAATTGGTTGTAAGGGGATTGTGGGTGGGGGGGGGGGGTTGGGGGCAATAGTTAGATTTATAAATAGGCCTTTTGAGAATCATAATGTAAGTGATAAAGGGTGAAGCATGGAGAGAGAGGGAAGTGTTGGTGATTTAGGATAACAAGGAGGAGATTTGTAAAGAGGAATGATATCAGATTTACATGCAGATCTGGAAGCTTGATAAAAAAGATAAAGGGAAGAAGGTGGCTTTGAGGATTGGAGTATTTACCTTGAAACTCAAACTGTCTTGACTGGATTTTAGTAGGGATTCTTTTATTAAGGCTACCCATCCCTACGAACGTAAACACAGGGACACGAGGACAGAGCGTTTGTGAGTCACTGTTACTGACACAGTGACCCAGTCTGGAAGATGTAGGTTACCCTTTCTTGTAGCCCTCAGGTTTCTCGGGAACTGACTCGGATTTACTGACACAAAGCCGGTCTATTGTTTTGTGCACTGATACCCAAAATAAACTGTAAAACATCCACTGTACAGAAATAAAAATCCAACCGCCCATCTTCACCATACGTTCCTTTTTCTTGCATAATGATAACAGTGAATGCATTTTCTGTCAAGTTGCAGATTTGAATGTATTTTCGCTATGAATTCCAAACATTAGACACTGTTTCTCTCATCTGAATGACTGGGTGCAAGTGAGCTGACTCAGTGCAGTTCACAAATTTGCTCCGATTGTAATTCATTTTATTCTAACAGTCTGCATGTTTCCTATAGCATCAAAAGCATCTTCTCCAGGGATTTGGCAGGGATTCATTAATCAGACAATAGGAGCTAGATGGTCCTTAATTGTTTCCAGCTTCTCATTTTTGTGCTCTTGTGCTTTCAGGCTCTGCAGAAGTTAGCAAGTCAGTACCTAAAGAGAGACTGGCCTGGAATCAACCCTGATGACCAGAGAACAGACTATAGGTAGGTTTGTGTGTGTGCATATGACACAGAAAAATGCACATATTACATAAAATTAGGAGCTGGAAGCTACTTTGTCTTCTTGCATCATCTACAAATTTATTTCAGTTGCAGTGTTCACATGAAGGCTGAAATTATACTGTGCTGGAGTCGTTCAATATTCTAGAAAAAAATTGTCATGGTCTACAGCACAGTTATGAGTCATTATTTACTGTAACAGAGGCACTGAAATAGAAGACTTGAAGTTGGATCTAAGTTAGTGTGACAAACAGAAATAATGCATCACGACACAAATTTTCTCCCCTTGTGGTTTCCTGCTCACACAGTTTTTTTAAAACCCACATTTTAAAAAACGTGTCCAATATCCAAGCAAATGCATATTGGATTAATTAAATAATCCAGCTGCAGAACTCAGTACTTTTTCTCTCCTACTAGGAATGTGTATGCAGTGTGGAGGTCCTATTTAGAAGGTACAGTCCAGGTGAGCCAGTCCAGGCTCAATGTATGCGACAATTACAAGAGTCAAGTATCAGAGCCCGCTAAGACTGTTAGACTGTACAAGGAGCAGCAGCTTAAAAAGGTGAGTTGGTCATTTTTTTTCCTGAAGCAGTATTTGTTCTCTGTTGCTGCTGCATCTTTCCAATGTGCTTGCTCAGAGTTAACTTCATGTTGTTCTGCTTGTTCTTCAAACATATGCCTGTTGTCTTTTTCCCTTTTCACAGACAATAGATCAGCTGAGCGGCATTCAAGCAGAGCTGCAGGAGTCAGTGAAGGAGTTGGCCAAAGCTAAGAAAAAATACTACGACTGCGAGCAGGTTGCCCACGCTATACGAGAGAAGGCCGACATCGAGGCAAAGTAAGTCTGCCGCAACACTGTGCACGTGTGTGTGTGTAGGGCTTTTCAGGTAGTTGCCAAGTCAGTTTTAGTGAGGGGATCTGGTGTCACTGTTATGCTGTGGAGGGCACATATTTGCATGGCACGAGTTGGGTCCACTTGCAAATCAATACAAAGGTGTTCTAATTTTTTATTGTCTTTGATTTTGAGCGGTGCAGTTACCAGATTTAGATGAAATCGGTTGCAAAGAGGATGCTGCACCAAAAACCTCTTTGTGATTGCTTTGATTGCTTGAGGGTTGTGTTTTGTTTGTATTGAAGACACTGATTTGTCAATTCATCTTATTGATGTGACCAACAGATTTCAACCAACTATTACTTTGATGGTTACCATTCAGTTCAATTCAATTGTATTTATCTAGCACCAAATCACAGCAACAGTTGCCTCAAGGTGCTTTATATTGTAAGGTAAAGACAATTATACAAAGAAAACATTCATACACTATATTGCAAAAAGTATTCACTCCTCTGCCTTCATATGCATATGAACTTGAGTGACATCACATTCTTAACGCATAGGGTTTAATATGATGTCAGCCCACCATTTGCATCTATAACAGCTTCAGTTCTCCTGGGAAGGCTTTCCACAAGGTTTAAGAGTGTGTTTATGGGAACCTTTGACCAATCTTCCAGAAGCACATTTATGAGGTCAGAAACTGATGTTGGATGAGACGGGCCGGCCCGCAGTCTCCACTCATAATTCATCCTAAAGTTGTTCTGGCGGGTTGAGATGAGGACTCTGTGCAGGCCATTCAAGTTCTTCCACACCAAACTCACTCATCCATGTCTTTATGGACCTTGCTTTGTGCACTGGTGCGCAGTCATGTTGGAACAGGAAGGGTTCATCGCTTCATGGCTCAGTTGCTGTCATTTCCAGTCGCTTCCACTTTGTTATAATACCACTAACAGTTTACTGTGGAATATGTAGTAGTGAGGAAATTTCAGTGCTAGGCTTACTGCACAGGTTGTGTCCTATCACGGTACCACTCTGGAATTCACTGAGCTCCTGAGAGCGACTCATTCGTTCACAAATATTAGTAGACGCAGTCTGCATGCCTAGAGGCTTGATATTATACACCTGTGGCCATGGAAGTAACTGGAACACCTGAATTCATTGATTTGGGTGAGTGAGGGAATACTTTTAGCAATATAGCATAGATTGCGCCACACTTTTTAGCTTTGGTTCATTTCTGTGCAACCTACAGGTGACTGCAGCAAACTGATAGCAACGAAAGACATTGCAAGGTTTTCGGTGTAGCACCTCTTTGAGACCCATTTCACCTATTTACTGCCTGTGGGTCACTGAATGATGTTTAGGCCTGTGTGAATAAAGCTTAAGAGAGCGCTTTACACAACCGTGTATCACAACACCAAAATGAGAGAAGAGTCCTCCTAAATATCAAGTCACACCCGAAGTCTACTGGTGGTAAATCCTGTCTCCCTACACTTGTCTTACTTAGAAACTTTATGTTGGATTTTTCTTTAATTTACCACACTTCTTGGTAAATATATAAAAATGGTGTGACTAAACAGATGGTCTCCATGGTGAGGGAGAATGCAATCAAGAGAGTGAAGCTGGTTAACCTCATAAGGAGAATGTGTGTGTTTCTGTTTGGAGAGAGATAAAGAAAGGGAACAACATTGTCATCGAGGATGAAAGAAGCAATCAGTCATAAACATACGCAGGTGTTTGAAAGAAGGAGAAAAAATACAGATGAAAAGACATGAAAACAACAAGAGAGGAACAGTAAAGAATAGTGTGGAAACATTGACTGACTGACTTTAGTTTTGATGAATCAGCTAACCACATCTAAATGATGTTAATTTGATATTATTAATTAATTTGAAGCATAGCTCCAGCAGATATATAGAGAGTACTGTTGATGTTGATTGAAAGCACTTTTTTTTCTGTGACCCTGGTGTCTGTCCTTTACTTTTTTATTACCTTCCAAGCTTAAGAGGCTTTCTGATTGAACAGCCACCTGACCTTTTTCTGCTCTAAGAATTCAAATCTTGAAGCTTTGCAGTCTTACAATTAGTTCCAGAGTTTGATCTGGAGCTGATGAGTGTTGTTTTCCTCCCATCCCTTGGTAGCAGTAGCTATGGTGACATTTTCACTTCATTGAATTCTCAACCCCTGGTTTGTGCTCACATCGATTGGCCAATCTACTCTTTTCTGTTCTCTATCGCTCAGTAGAAAGTAGCAGCGACGGAAATAAGTGTATCGCCTGTGTGCCATTATTGGAGAGTATGCACATGCGTGTGTGTTTGAGAGGATAAAAATGGCGAGGCACAAGGAACGCACAGGAAGAAATTGGTGTGAATGTTATTTTTAACAGCACTCGGGGTGTAAAGTAGGACTTAAGTAGAAGCATTTTACAGGTACTCTCGCGCGTGGGGAACTGGCAGAGAAAATTACACACTGAAGCATTTGCATCGGCGAGTGTTAGATTTAATCGAAATAAGCATGCTTTTTTTAATGTTTTTGTGCTCATGCGCACAGATACACATGCCGGGAGGAGACAGGCTTTCTCTGTCATTGATACAAATGAGTGTCTGGATCAGGCTCACATTCATCACTGTCAAGTCTCGCTCTGCTCAGGCCAGGGTTCGTCTATAAAGTCTGGTCCGAATCAGAGGATGGAGATGTGGTAGAAATCCTTGGATCTTCCCTTCTGTCGTCTTTTACTTGACATGTTAAATTTAGAAATGTGAATACACAAAAGTGTACAGTGTTTAAAAAAAAAAAATTAGATACTTATTATTGTTTTGTTTTTTGTCTTTTTCAGGTCTAAACTGGGTCTTTTTCAGTCAAGAATTAGTTTACAGAAAGCAAGTGTAAAGGTAAGAACCTGAAACATAACAGCGGCTTGTTTAGGCAGGGCTTTCAGCTGTATTACTTTGAACAATTATTTAAAAACAAGTAGCAACACTATACACATTTTTTCTGTCTGTTTTTTGAAGTTGAAAGCAAAAAGAAGTGACTGTAACTCAAAGGCGACACAGGCCAGGAATGACTACTTGCTAACGCTAGCTGCTGCCAATGCTCACCACGATCGCTACTACCATACAGATCTGCTGCACTGCATACAGGTAAATACAGAAAGATGAAAGAAAGGAAATGAATGAGGTAAGTGGTGTGAAAGTGGAAACACAAAGCCAACATTAAAGACTCGAGATTTTAATGCTGTTGCAATATTTTGCTTTACTAGACCAAGTACTGACTTAAGAGCCTCCCTTGGATAATATCCGGAGGGATTTTTTTTCTTTTTTTGGACGGGTTTTATAATATAAATTGGGGAGCTTTGAATTTAAGTTCCGTTTTGGGAAAATGTGTTCCTTTCATGAGTCCACAAAGTCAGACTCCCATTCACTGTCAGTGAAATAGCTGGTAGGGAAATATCACACACGAAAAAGTGTTGATTTCACAGTTTTGAGTCTTCAAAGAAAGTCTCAGCGTTGTGCGGATTTACGATTTGAAAGGGGCTTATGTGAAGAAAAGTGACCCATGCTAATGTCAACTTAAACCAAATCATCGGTGGGCAGGAAATTATCATTTTCAGCTGATGGAATATCAAAAAAGACATTCTTTTGTCTTTGGTCTTTTATTTTAAACTGCTAAGATGATTGAATACAAAAGGTGGTTAAGCCCAGTCTTTATTAGACACAATATTATCTTGCTGAGCTGTTTCAGTTGTGATACTGCTTTAATTATGATCTGTATGAAAATACACACACAAAAATCCCAGTCTGTAATTCACTTACAGCCTAGCTACTCTGTTGTACATACATGGGCTAACATGCTCACAGATACAACACATAAAGTAAAAGTCTCGAAACATCATATGTTTCCTTATATTTTGCTTCCAACGAGCCAGAATTTCTTGGAATTTTTAAAGTGGTCTCGAGCAATAGTTCTCCAGGATGTCTGAAGGTCTTTTTTTTAAGTTTCTCTGGCTGCTTTTTCACTAATTTTCAGTCCATTACTTTTACTTGACCATTTTCATGAAACATTCAAGCATAAAACAGCACCTAACTCAAGGGATGAATTTTTTTTTTTTTTTTACATTTTTTAAGCAATTTGTTACTAGTAGTATGTCACAAAACATCATTTGTTCCAGTTTCTTGTGTTGAATTTATTAAAAATGCCAATGATAACACAGACACGCATTTTTGCTCTAACAAGTGATTTCCAGAGATCTATTAGATGAAAACTTGGCATATCTCAGCATGGTGTGCAGTGCGCATTGAAACAGTTTGAGGAAACTGGACAAGTGGAGGACAAAAGAAAAAGTGGCCGGCCTAAAAACTGCCTATAGCAGATGAACAGTATCTGAAAGTTATTTCTTAAAGAAATGTGAAAAAATCCAAACACAGGACCTGAGAGATGCATCTGACACTTCAATTGGTCTATTCTCTACTGTTCACTAAAGCCTCAAAAGAAGTGCCTCAGTAGAAAGGGTGGCTGTCAACAAACGTTGTTAAGGAAGGGAGAAAAAGCTGAGATGTGCCAAATCAGTAGTGAGAATCAGTAGTCCAGAGTGTCTACAGCCATCGGTAAAACTGTCATGGTTTGAAGCTGCATTTCAGCCAGTGGTGTTGGGTGTCTTGTTAAAATTTGTGGAATTATAAACATAGAAAAGAATAATGAGATTTTAACCCACTGTACAGTACTATCTGGAAAACGTCTGATTGACAATTGCTTAATTCTTCAGCATGAAAAATCCTCAGGCGTGACTGATAGTTAGTAGTTCTGTTATAGACACACATGTTGGTCTGTTTTACATCTGCAGCTTTATTGCTCTTGTTTTTCTCATTTGTCTGACCATCAGTTAAATGGTATGTACTCAGGATCTCAATAGTATTAAATAAAATTTAAGTTTTTTTCTTCTGTTTCTTGGCTTTTGACTCCTTGTTTATTTCTTCTCCCATCTTCTTTTCTGTCTTCCCTCCTCACTCTCGCATGCTCTGCCTTAGGCATGCACTAGTATCTATACTACGAGGCCATTCTGAATAATAGATCCTTAGCTTCTTGTGACAGAAGGACAGGACTGCAGGGAAATATGCACATACACAAATATGCGCGTGAAAACACACACAGAGAATGAGGGACATTGCTAGAAGGAAGCAAGCTGTCTGTCCTCCCTCTCCTTCCTGTGCTGATTCATTTGTGGTGTTTACCTGAAAATATCAGCACTCTTGAATGTATGAGTTCTCTCTGCAGTTCAAGGAAGGCGTGAAATCTTTTCCATGAACGCATTCCTGTATGCTTTTGGGGCCTTTTCATCTCCATGTTCAACAGATATTGTAGTTATCCCATGAAATGTTTGAGATTAAATGAGTTATAGTGGTAAGAATCGGCTTTCTTCCTTCCTAGGTCATCTGAGAAAAGAAAATGATTAAGTGTGAAATAGATGACTGAAGGATAATAGAATAGTTTCTCTGGGGATGATAGGTGAGGAAACTTGTAATTGATAGCCTTGTTTAGATCAAATCTTCCCTTCATAAATACTGACTGTACTGAGAGTTGTAGTGAGGCTGCGGTAATAACTTAAATCTTATAGGTGAGCCGTCCTTGTCAATGCGACAGCTGTAGTGAAAGGGCAGAGGAAGAACCGACTGCTCAACGTCTCCCTCTGCTGTCAGCAGTATATGCTGTTATTAATGTCGGTCTTTAAAGTTGCCGGCTAGCCATTGACACACACAACCACACACCCTCACACTTGCACCTCTGCTGCCCCGTCTGCTCCCCTGTGCTGCCCTTATTGTTCCAACTGATGCAGTCATTCAACCCAAACACAGACACACACACACACACAAACACACATCCACTGGCCATGGTATAGGGACGGACGGGGCTTTTTCTGGAAGCTGACTCACTTCATTTCAACACTACCGTAAATGGATGAAAAAAGGAGGGGAGGAAGAGAAGAAAGGGGGAGGAGGAAATGACCAGAATGATGAGGGAACATTTAGAGAGAAGTCAGCCAGCAACCCACCCTTAATGACATAATGTCCTTGTCAATATCCCATTGTTTTTGAGGCTGTGTTGTGTGTGAATGCTGTGGGTTGTGGGTTTTATGTTTTTTTTTTTAATGTGTTTGTCTGTATAAGAAGGAGACAGACGTAGGTGTTAGCTGGAGGCTGCAGACTTGGCCTAAATGATCCGCTGGTTAGAATAGTGTGTGCACGTTTCTGAGGCTTTGGCGCTTTGGCCAGAGGAGTGCGTGTATGTGTGTGTCTCTGAGCATTTGATCACTGATGTCTGTGTGTGTGTGTCTGCCTTCTCTGTGTTTTGTTGAATTGGAATCTGAACCCCTTCACCTTCCTCTGCAGCTGTGAGAACACCATCCAAAGAACACACTCACACACACACACACACACACACACACACACACTCGTGTCCCATAAACACATTTTTTTCCAGTAAGTCTCTCTTTTTTGCTCTCACCCACTAATACCTTTTATACCTTTTCAAAATGCTCTCCCTTCCCCTCTTCTTCCTCTCTTCCTCCCCTCCGTTAGCCCCGCTCTCTGTCTGTTTGGCAGCGTTGCCTACAGCTTGGCAGCAGTATCCCGGCTGCCCATAGAAAGGCTGTTCACTTGGACTGCATACTTCATTAAAATGTCTTTGTATCCGTGCATCAGAAACGCTAATGTTAACAGTTGTTAAATAAAAACATCTGCGTGGTTTTGGGCCTTCCTGTGACTTCGTTCCCTCCCTCTCACCTCTTTATATTTTTCTCACCATATTTTTCTCCTCTTCCTTTTTTAGTTTAGTGTTTTTCATAAAATTATTTTTAATGGCCCATGGAAACATGCCATTACTGCATTTAAAGTTATAATATACAGTACGTCATGGGAGGCGGCGATGTGAGTGAGGCGTGTTTGTTTGTAACAGAAGTGGGCTTTGCTATGCTGAACTCTATTTCTGTTCAATTTGACTGTATTTCCTGTATGTATTTTGCATGTTTCGGGTGCGTTCTAGTGAAATTTAACATAAAATAAAGCTTGAAATTACCTTCCACACAAGAAGTCTCAGTTGATTTAGTCCTGCTACACAGTAGCTTATGCAATAACAGAAAAAATCATTAACAGAGGAAATTGTCCCACCCAACAAATGCAACAAAAATAACACAAAAGCAAGGGAGCTGTCAATCAGTTATAGTGTAATCACTAGACTATGGACCTCAAAAATGATTTTTCAAACATAGACGTGCATTAGTAGATTATGTAACAAAATCACAGTACATTTATGGATATCTAAACACAAGATTTAATTTGAGTTTACGACAAACTAGCAACGCTTATTCACATTCTGTTCTTTTTGTCTATTTCTTAGTGTCTCCTCCTGATTCCCTTGTCCTCTCTGCTTTATTATTAAGGATTGTGGAATTACATTGAATTCATCCATGCTTCAGTGTAACCCCTGGTTCCTCTCTTTCTCTGTCTGTCTTCTAGGCCTTGGACGGCAGAATCTATGAGCACGTCAAAGACTACCTGGTGGCACTTTGTCGCACTGAGCTTGAGGCCTCCCAGGCTACACACAACACGTATCAGTTCCTTTTGGACAAATCCACCAGGGTGAGTCAGACAATACAAAAATATGCTGTGACCTTGAAACCAAGCTATCAGGGTTTATTTGTGAAATGATCAGAGCAACATTTTCATGTCATCTGTAATTATGAAGCTCTATTTTTTCTTTGAATCTGTGGTAAGACATTTCTATGGAACCCACTGGAAGTGTTTTGACATTCAGCAGTCTTTTTCTTTCTGTGTGCATAATTTTTTATTTTATTTCTTTAATTTCTTTGTGTCTGTCTGTAGTTTAGTGGCTTGCACAGCCACCTCACAAGCAGATCTTCAGTTCTGTTGCAGAAGTAGGCACGAATCATTTTGGGGTTGTGTCAGGAAGGAAATCTGGTGTAAAAATCTGTCAAAATATAGATAGAGCTACCTTCTTTTGTGACCCTGTGTGAATAAGGGAGCAGCTGTGTGTACCTTTTGTGTGGCATGATGAGGTTTCTATTCTACTTTAACTGTGCAAGAAAGACACAACACAGTGACTGTTTTTGATTAACGCAGCATGTACTCACAGGCAAATTGAGAAAGGTTAACTTCAGGACCCGAACGCATTATTAGGGGTTATTTTGCATGTTGCCATTTTACTGAATGTCACTGTATTTCAGGATTGTTTGCTCACCACATCGCTTCTAGCTGGTTCCTGTGTGGGACGGTTTCTCACTAGTTTCGGGTCTCATCCTAAGCTACACTCACACTAGCTATGGTTTGAATGTTATGTCTTCAGAAACTCGACTTAACTTCTGAACCGTATCCCTCTTGGACTGAAAAATTAATCCCTCTAAAGTCAAAATATGAACCCACAAATGTATGCATGAATATGAAACACTCACCCACTGTGGGCTTCAGATGTGGCAGTGGGAAAAAAAATTGTCGTTTGCATCCTCGAAGGGAACAGAAGCCTCGTCACACATGAAGTTCAGCAGACTCTTGTATTGTCGGGTTTACACAGCACCAAACTTGCAGGCACAATGTACTGGATTAAAGATCTCCTTCTCTCTTTCTTTCAGATAATGCAGGAGTACAACCAGCAGTTGTTCATGCAAGAGAATCCGGTGTTTCACAAAGCGCACGACTTCCAGTTCCAGCCCAGTGAATGTGACACGGTGAGACTCACACAGCTACACGCAGATCTCCTGGATTAATACTCATGTATCACTAGTACTTAGATTGTTTGTACATAAACCTGTTCACAGCAGGACTGTCACTCCACTTCACTTGCTGACTCACACACACACATACATACACACATACGCACAAACTCCCACACACAGACAGCAGCCAGCCATGTGGGCTTTCCTTTCATCCTGTGTTTTCTGTCCTTTCTAATATCTTAAAATGTTGCTTAAATCCTTAAGTTGAGTGATGAAACAGAATTCATTTACCGCAGTTCTGATTTAGAGAGTCACATTAAAACATCTGGGGCTGAGAGACCTGCCAAGTTAAAAATCCGTGAGCCAAAGCTGTGATCGCCCCTTTTTTCTCTTGAGATATCTTTGGGCCTTTTGTTCCCAGACTTTGGGGATTTCTTTATGTTAACAGTTTCAGATGGAGTTGCCCAGTTAACTAATGTCTGCTGACAACGTGAAAGACGCATGAATCGGCTCTGTGTTCAGATGTTGCGTGTCCGTTGGGAGCGTATCTTTCTAGCCTGGGATTTGTTTTGTCATTTACACAAGCTAATTTAATCATTTAAATTCAATTGGTTGCTGAATGCTACAAATATTTTAAATTGTTGTCAAGTGATCACGGTCTGTGTGATCGGAATGGAGCAGTGGGAATCATGCTGTCTCCTCTCCTCTTTGGGGACTTGTTAAGTCTTTCTGGCTAAAAAAAGAAATTGCTCTCACTGGACACTGTTTCTAATACCTTTCTAGAGTAGTATCCTTCTCTCCTGTGTCTGAGTGATATTGTGCACTCTCCTTTCTCTACATTTCTCTTTCTCTCTCTGGGTTCTGCCAGTTTCTCCTTGCCTCTGATCTTTTGCCTTGTTTCAAGTGTTCTAACAGTTTTCTCTGTAACAATGTTCTCTTCCTTCTTTGTGTCTTCCTGTTTCTGTTCAAGCTTTGCTAACAGTTTTTCCCTAAACTTTTTTTCCACTAATCGCTCCTTGTGTTTGTCTGTCTGTGTGGTTGCACTGCTGCTCTTTGGGTGTGTGGTCTGCGGATGCCTGGATGTCTATTTGTGTGTGTGTGTGTGTGTGTGCCAGACTCTGAGCTCGGTGCAGCAGTTGGTGGACATTGAGCCGTCGCCCGTCAGTGCCATGAGAATGACCCTGGCACAGGTAGTCTTAACTGTTGTCAGCATTCCTATCATACTTCTCAGACCATGGCTTATCTGCTTCATTCATACATTCTGTTTATACTGACTGCATCATTTACTGTAAGAAGCTTTCAGTCGGCCATGAGCCAAACAAAGCGTAATAATGCAGTTTAACTTAACACCTCAGGCTGTGATTGATGTTTCAGCATGGCACTGGAAAAATCTGAAACCTCATACACTCACAGGCTACTTTATTAGTTATACCTTGCTAGTACTGGATAATCAATCTCCTGTTTCACCACATCAAGTGCTCTATTGGATTGCGATCTGGTGACTGTGGAGTCCATTTGAGTACAGAGAACTCACCAGTTCTGTTCAAGAAACAAGTTTGATATTATTTGAGCTTTGTGACATGGTGCGTTATCCTACTGGAAGCAACAATACACAGTTAGACTGAGGAATTCAAACAATGATCAGCTGGCACTGAGTGTGCCAAGACAATATTGCCCACACTAACAGTTCATATAAGACAGAATGGATCCATGCTGTCATGTTGTTTACACCAAATTCTGCAATCTGACTGTTGCAGCAGAAATTGCGACCATACCAAGTTTTTCCAGACTTCTATTGTCCAATTTTGGTGAGTCTGAGCCTCTTTTCTGTTTATAACGAGCAGGAGTGGCACCTGTTATGGCCTTCTGCTGGTGCAGCCTATCTGCTTTGAGGTTCATATGTTGGTTGTAAAAAGTGGTCATTTGAGTTAAAGCAGTCTAGCCATTCTCCCCTGACCTCTGGCATCAAAAGGCATTTTCTCCCAGAGAACCTCAGCTCACTGGATATTTTCTCTTTTTTGGACAATTCTCTGTAAACCTTAGAGATGGTGGTGTGGGAAAATCCCAGCAGATCAGCAGTTTCTGAAACACTCAGACGAGCCAGTCAGGAACCAACAACCACGCTATGCTCAAATCAGCTTCAGCCGGTCATTTTGACTATGTCTTCATGGCTACATGACTTAGCTGTTGCCATGTGATTGGTTAATTAGATATTTATGTTAATAAACAGTTAAATAGGTGTACCTAATAAAGTGGCTGGTGAGTGTGTGTTCATAGGCACCCAACAGAGAAACCTTTTTAACCCTCACTGGTAGCAATCTTTCAATTTAAGTTATATTTCCTAGATTTCTAGCGCATGCTTGGAGTGACCTGTTATAGTGAGAAAAAAAAGACAGAAAAATACTTGATTTTTCATAGTTATGCACACTATTTACTAATGTTGTCACTATGGATCTCTTTGCCTGTGATTATGATGCTTTTGATGATACTTTACATTATAATTTTTTTTAAAAAACAACTGTAGTGTCAGTGAGTTGACACTTTTTTGACTCAGTGACATGACAAATCAATGTTAACACACATTAAATTAAACTTTGCTGAACTAGACGCCCAAGTATGACATGCTCTGTTTGGCAGGGACTTCTTCTGATCTAACTCTGATTGACAGGCAGACAGTTAGTCAGCTAGAATAACCTTTATATTCCAAGTATCTTGGAGAGCAGTGTGGGCCTATCGCTCTTTTAAACAGAAATTGTGCTCTAACCAGTTGGAGCACCAAGACTTCATACAGCATGGCGGTGAGGGTGAGCAAAGTATTATTGTGTGTTGGGAATAACTGAGAAAAGCAGCTGAGGATGGGCTCAAATCTGACAGCACACTATGCAGTGATAAAACCCAGAGCTCTTTTGTTATTACTGGAAAAGAATCACGTCTTGTTAATAGTCATTAACACATCATTGTGCTTTATAAATGATCTGTTTTTATATGGCTCTCAGCTTTGTGGCTTAGGGAGGAGGCTGTTGATTTTGGCCTACAGCAGTCAGCTGTAACCACAGACAATAAAACGAGAGTGTATGTTTTTTTTTAGGTTTGATTTTCTCCTTTTACTGAAATACAGTGGAGGTTAAAGAACTTTCATTGCCCGACTTTTTATGTCCATCTGTCACCGTAACAAGACTGTGAGACACTCTGGGATAACCACACAAGTGGCTGCAGATAGGATTATGACATCATCCACATAGTTGGCATGAAACCTAAAATAAACATGACAAATATGTGGGAGTTTCTGAATTACATGTTAAGATTTTATCTGCTCAATGCGACTTTGCTTTTGTGCACCAATAGAATAATCAAACCAGAGAATAGAGTTGATAATTTTTTTCTTATTTAATATCTAAAAAGGCCACAGTTCACCTGATTATTACAACTATTCCATCTGACATAAACCTCGCAACGACAGCTGACTACACTGAGGCGGTTCAGCCATTACTGGTCTATTTAAGGAAGTTCTTTATGTTTCCTGCATTTTCTAGTTGCTTCATCATAAACAAGCAATGAAGGCACACTTGCACGATAGCTGAATACCTTTGGTGGCTTTGGCTTCTCATGACCGTTGTCATGACTCATCTGATGCCGTAACCTTATGTCATCTTTTAAAATATCACCATACTGTCATCAACATCCTGAAAGCTGATGTGTCATAGTTTAGTGTAATTGTCCTTTACAAATTTGTTACGGGTTCAAGATGTAATCACTGGAAACTGAATGAGCACCTCCCTAATTGCTTTGTTTTTCTTTTTGTTGTTTGTGTGTCCTGATTTCCATTCAAAATCATGCTGCGTATATCTTACATGTTGATTATTGAATTCTTTGTGTCTGTATGTGTAAGATAAGCTCATAAAACATAAAATATGAAATAATACTCAAGCTAACACTGCATTAAATTTACATGTTGTGAATGTAGACATCATACTGTAGTTGTACACATACATTTTCTCTGTGCTATTTTAGGAGAACTCATTTTATTCTTTTACTTTTAACACGCATAAAAAAGCATAATCATAGGCAGGTATTTGCTGCAGTCTGAATGCATCGCTGCTGCTCTAATGCAAGTGTAGAAACACTGGAGTCCTAGGCACCCACTGCTTTAAAACTCCATTAAAACACTTCACATAGAAATACTGCTGCGTTGGCTAATTTGTGATACATGTGCTGTTCAGCATGATGAATTTTATTAATTAAGACAGTGATATGTTTCTAAAAACTGTAGAACAAGAGCGAGAGCCTTATTCAGAGAAAAACTTGTGCAAATGCATTAAATCATAACAAGTCCTAGACCTTTTCTGACATTTTTTTCGTATAATAATATGTGTCTAAGACAAGAAATGTGTTCAGAATGAGTGAATAACCTGCAAGAAGACTGTATCTAAATGATGTGTCTGCCTCTTTAAGTCTGAAAAAGGTTTAGATTTTGAAGATGAAACCATTTTCCCTTATATGTCAGGTCAGTTGTTTATAGTTGTGCCTATTATGGCACCTACAGTCATTGCTAATGTTGTTATTTTCCAATTTATTAAATGATTTAATAAAATAATATTTCACCTTTGTCCAGAAAGACATTTAGAGTGCAGGTTGATTTATCTATTTGGGTGTAACGAGATAATCAGTGTGCATCAGGAAGAGTCACATGACTCACATGAGCACTAGAATTTATTTGCAGTATGAACAGTCATGTGAAAGGGAGTGGATCTTTTTTTATTTCAAAGATTTTATGTATTATGACATCATAATAAATAATCTGATCCTTACCAGGTTCTAACTTGAAGTAGTCATTTTCTGCATGACATTTATCAGTCTCTCCTGTCACTGTGGAGGAACTTTGAGGTTTGCAGGTATTTGCATATATCTCTTTCATCATTGTCCTGTTGTATGGCCCCATTTCAGCCAAATGTAGTAAGCTACTACACAGATGGGCTCAGATTTGACTCTAGAGCACTTTGGTATACAGAGGAATTCATTATCGACTAAGTGCCTGCAAGGTGCCCAGGTCCTGTGGCTACAACACAAGCCCAAATCTTCACTCCTTCACCACCGTGGTGGACAGTGGGCATGAGGTTTGTGCTGTTATGCTGTGTTTGGTTTCATGCTTGGTGTGCATTATGGCCAAACATCACCACTTCGGTCTTTGTCCCAGAAGTCTTGTGGGTTGTTCATATGTAGCTTTACAAACCCAAGCTGTGCTAACATGTTGTTTTTAGAGAGAAGAGACTTTTTCCTGGCAACCCTTCCAAAGTTATATTTGTTCAGTTTTATTATTGTACTGTCATGAACTTTAACATTTAACATGCTAACTGAGGCCTGTAGTATCTGAGATGTAGCTCTTAGAGTTTTTTTGCAGTTACTTTGAGCATTGCACGGTCCAACCTCGGTGTGAATTTGCTAGGACATTCTAGCTGATTGAACTATCTTGAATCTTTTCCAGTTGTGAATAATCCTTTTCTCTGTAGAATAATGGAATTGAAATTGTTAGAAAGTGACCATATACACGTTCTCAAAGCGATGGGGAGCAAGAATTGCTTCTTGAGGATCATTGCTGATGTTTTCCTCCTTGGCATCGTGTTACGCACACTGACAGAGTGACAAAACTTCTGCTCTTATAGATGTGCTTACATTTGCTGATGATCGGATAATAATTTGCATTTCATTAGGAACTCCTGGCTGTTACTTACCCTCGTAACTCCCGTGGAAGCAGTTGGGGTGTACCTAGGTTTTCCACACTGTTTCTACGTTTTTGGTTTAGCTTTTGTTTGTCTTTCGAGATGTTTTGTGTTTCATCTGAGGTTGTATTTAAGACCTGGTAAGGATCAGATGATTTTTTTTACTATGTCCTGATACATAAAACCTTAAAGGGTGTCCTTTCTAGTTCACATAACTGTAGATGCTGGCAGACTATCTGAAATTCAAATTTAAGGAAAGTATTGAGATGCAGGTTCATGACATGTCTGTCACGGACCCGGCTCTGGAGGACTCAGGGGTCCGTGACAATGTCATATTCGAGCCACTGTTCTAATCGAGTTACCTGCCCTCTCCCTTAACTTGCTGCAATTCTCCTGTGCCTGAATGTAATTAAGCTGTAAATCTCCCATGTAATACACTTGGTTTCACACCTATACTTAGCCAGATTTATGCCCTGTTGTTACAGAATCAGCACATAATTAATAGAGATGATGTGCATGAAAAGGTATAATTAGAATATTGTGTACTTTAGCTGAGGCTAACAGACTTTTATTATCAGATTATGGGAACTCAAACCTCTCAGGTCTGTGCAAACACAGCACTGACGACGAATGTCTATACATGGAAGTCTTTGCAAGATATTTTGCATTGATTTCGATTTGAGTTGTTACGAGGGAAGCCGGAGTGGGTCATTGTTAAATTACTAGAAAGTATCCTTTTTGTTTTTCAGCCCCTGCTATGATGCATTTTATAATAGATAGAAATGAAAAGATCAATTCTGAGTCATATTTGTAAACAAGTAACCAAAAACAGTCTTTTTTTCAGGGTTTCTTTGGATCATGGCAGACAGCTGTCTAATTTGATTACTGAGTCATGTTTTTTTGGACAACAATAGCAAATAATTATGATTAAACTGAAAAATCTGGCTTTAAAAATGCAAATATGTTTCTATGAAATCAGCATCAGTTGTTTAGAGAAGACTGAATCAAATTAAATGATGTTTTTTTTCTTTATTAAAATATTAAGAAATATTTCATCCAACATAGTTAATCTGGATATTGTGGGTGCGTTCTTATCAGAATTTGATAGAGTGGCCAAAGAACCTCCCAGCTGTCACCAGATTTTCATTCCCATACTGCTAAATGATGCATGATTGGCAGAAGTATGCAACATGACCTTTTCCCAGCGAATCCCCGCCCACTTCAAAGCAGTGACAAAGAACAGAAAGAGAGAAAAAAAATAGAAATCTTTCATGTGAAGTAAGAAAAGCTCTTTGTTAAGTGCATGATCTCAGGATTCACTTTGGCTGCATGGTTATAATTGATGTCATATGTTTAATTGGAAGGCCATGCAAATTCCTTGACTGACCCCGCGTGTTTTCTGTAAAAAAAAAAGCAAAAAAATAAAGTCACATGCAAAAAGTGCTGTCACCACGCGCCTCCTCTTCTCTCACTTTGTAGTACACAGAAAAACACACACATGGTGTTTCACGTGTGGTTTTAATAGCAGCTTTTTGTTTCATAAGGTAACAACAGAGCATCGCAACACACACTGTATTAATTACTTGCTATGGAAACAATGTTGCTTTCTTTAGCTTAATTAACAGCCTCTGCGTATTGCACACCTTGAGCTGTTGTTTTTGACACTGTATTTTTGTGTGTTTGCCTGCTGCTGTGGCGTGTCTCTGTGCGGCTGTGTGTGGGATATTAGAGTCGTCAGCTGGAGTCGGAGTCGGGGACGACAGAGGAGCACAGTCTGAACAAGGAGGCCAGGAAATGGGCAACCAGGGTGGCCAGAGAGCACAAGAATATCATTCACTACAAGCGAGTAAGAGGGACACACACACACACACATACAGACACACTCACAAACATTTGTTGCACGTTTTAGAAATGCAACATGTGAATCTTAATCAGGCTAATTTTAAAGTGCACACACATTCCTGTTCTAATCACGCTCTGTGTTTGTGTGTGTTGTTGTCAGTCTCTGGAGGAGTGTGAGAGCCACGGCTTGCCTCCCACAGAGCAGGGAAGATTAGATCTGGAGATGAAGATCGAAGACACCAAAGAAAACATGCGCAAAGCCGAGGTGTGTGACTCAGATCGTCAACGTTTACTGCTGTCTCAGGGTCTTTGTTTAAATATAACCCTGTGTGTATGGTGTTTGCACTTTGTTCCCATCTTCATGTAGCTCTCTTTCCCAGTGCTTTATTTTCATCTCGTAGTCTAAAGGCACGCAAGGTCCGGTGAAGTGAAAACACCAAAATGTGGGTGAATGCAGCGTGTCAGTTGTTCTATCCTGTCAAAACCTGGGCGCCGCATGGAGCTACAAGGATACAGAGAACAGATGAATAGATGATCTTTTTCCAACAAATGTTCAGAACACAAACTTTGGAAATACAGCGTGAATTTATTTGAGTACTTATTATGGAGCGGCCTGTCACAGAACGTTTTGCAGTATGTGCACTAATGCTGACACATAAAGGAACGATTCCAACGTTTCCAAGAGAGTCTGCCTTGAATAGCAACATGAGATTTATTTTTATAGAAGTAGGAAAAAAGAGAAGGAAAAAAATCTGTGATGCGATATTGATATCAAAAATAAGCAGATGTTATTTTCTGTGTTATTACTGTTGTGTACGGGAAGCTTATTTTTCATTGTTTTAATAGGTCTCTAATGAATGGCTAATGTTTGTTGTTCTGAAACACCATGAAATCTGTGGTACACATTTACATAGAAGTACTTAATGTTGCATATCGTTGTAAACGAGTTGAAGTGCTGCCCACTCTTTGGACCGATGTATTTTGAATTGAATGAAGAGTGAAACTGGCCGTATGCTCTCAGTCTGCACAGCCTCTTTGATGTAGCAGGGTATATTTTAACAAGCATGGCCCACGAGTTATCGTCACACTTTTGCCAGCATAAGATGTGAGAGATCATTTAGGTTATTCACCTACACAAATCTGAAAAAACTAATTAACTCCTTGATGTATGTCATAGCTTACAGTTACATTTCTCTTAATATCCCACTGTTACTGCATGCAGGTATGACGCATTGTAGTTTATTTTATTATATTATAATGAAAATGTTGATACAAGGTCAGATGATCACATATTTTTATTGTTTCTTTGACCACTTTCTCCTCAGGCTTTCAGTCCACATGTACCTCTTTCTGTTTCCATCCTCCCACTCTTTTCCCTCTACACACCCTAGCCAGATACTTATTGATTGCGCATCGATTCCCACAGATTGAACCTGTCAACACTGAATGAGATCACTGCACCGTGCGCTATCCTTCTCAGCGTAATCCTCTCTGTTCGCTCCCAGAAGTCTATTTTTTTTTTTTCATTCTGCTTTTCAGCTTCATTGCATTTGGCTCATTCTCTATCTAACTTCCTCTTTGGCTCCACACTACCTTTGTTATCAGGCTTTTGCATATTTGGCACCCTCTGCTGTCAAGTTAAGAAACATTTGCTTTGTCGTCATGCATTCGAATAATTTAGCAACTATCAGTAGCTTGTGATCTCACTTCCCTCAAAATAATTAGAGAATCTTTTCATAGCAAAGTGCAAACATGTGTCCACGTCACCTTTTTTTAAGTGCTTCATCCTCTGTCTTTCTCTCATGCTTCCCTTTAATTTCTCTTCCCGACCAGCATTACCTTGACTAAGATGATGAATATTTTATGAGCTCTTTGATACTAATGGCTTTATCACAGACCTCTTATCACAGATTTATAAAGGGAGTGAAAGCAGGATAAAAGACATTATGTAGGTTTGATGGGAACATTAGCTGTATTTTTTGTATTATTGATGGGAGCATTATCTGTATTATCTGTGAATTAGCTCCATCTTCCTTCCATCAAGCCTCTTCCAGTAGCATTATCAATCACAAAGCCAAGCCAGGCCTATACATTAGTTACACTACCCAAAAATATTAAGGGAACACTTGGTCATCACAGTATAACAGGAAGTTGGTTAAACTTCAGACTTCATATCAGTGTGTCAGGATAGGAAGCATAAACTGGTGCAGGTGAGTGACAACAGGTGTGCTAGAGAGGCAACACTAAGACAACCCCTCATCCCCCAGCAGCCAACACAACAAACACTAGGCAGACTTTTGCAACAGCAGCTGGACTACCGAGCAGTTAATTCACAGGATACATGGGTTTTGAAAACAACTTCTCAGGGTTACAGGCTGCTGTTTCGCTTCAGGGCCACACCCTTTTCAGCAGCCAGTAGTGCAACCAGGTATACAGATGTCTGTGATTTCTGTGTTTTGCCTTTCGGGGACTGGTGTATCAGTTTACCCCCTTAGACCTCTCCCTCACCTTACAAGCCGCATGAGTTCAGCACTGAGATTATTAAGTCTGTCAGGTATAATGATAATACCTTACCTTGATCTTTGGCTTATTTGTGCCTCATCGTTCAACAAGGGTGAACAGGTAACAATCCAGTTAACCACCTCGAGGCCTTGGGGGGATGTCGGTCATTTGGGACAAAAGCGCCCTACGTCCAACACAGCAGACCAACTTGTCTCTAGATTCTGCATCCATAATGGGACGGTCAACTCTAGAGGGACTGGAATTCAGGCTCTGCTCGAGTCCTTTCAGCTCAGGGTAAGAGTGGCTGTTCAAACATGGCTGAAGCTGCTAGAGATGCTTACAACAGCCTTTGAAGCCTGGCCATCTGAGGGTTCATCTGGTAGCAGTATGGGTAAACCATGACCATATCAAGAGGTGGTCCCTTAGCACACATTTTTGGGTAATGCAGTCTCCGCATGGTGCCAGGAGTCTGCTGCCCCCTAGAGGGAAATTGCTTGCAGCATGGGACCTGGGCAGGTCACCTGTTACGCAGGAATATCCATGATGGAGAAGTTATTAAAAAGTGTTTTTCTTTTAGCAGCTGCAACAGTTAGCGAGCTCCATGTACTCTCTTTCAAGCCTGTACTTTACACTGGAAACTTGATGGCTCTGAATTAATGCTGTGGCTAAATGTGGTTGTTCTACCCAAGATCTTGACATCCAGCCATACTAATGAAGCCATAGAACTTCAGGCATGCGACCCTCCCCCCTTAGATCAGAGTGGAGGATGCAGTGGATTTTTTTGTGTCTATAGATTAGGGAAACACAGAACCCTAGACACTCAGTTCTTTATTTGTTATAATAGGAAGAACACGGGAAAAGCTCTGTCCAAGTAGGGATTTTCCCACTGAGTTGTTGACACAGTAAAACGGGTGTACGAAGTAACAGGTGCACCTGTCCCTTCAGATGTTAGTTGTCAGTGTACCAGGGTTATGGCATGAGCCGTTCCACTAAGTGAAATCTATACAGGGGCATCCTGGGCAGCGTCTTGCACGTCTAAATGTCATTAGCTTAGTAACTTAAGTTTTTTTGTGATGATCAGTTGTTCCCTTAAATATTTAAGTGCTGCATTTCTGAGGAATTTGTGTTTTTCTGGCTAAGCAGTCTCTACGTCATATCATAACAAGCAGACTATCTGGTATGCCTGCTTAAGTATGCAAGATTACAATCAGTCAGTAATCAAGACTGTTATTATTTACTGTAGTTAAAGCTGTGGTTTAAAGCCAGTGTTTAGAGTTAAAACAACAACTGTTGAAATGCTTATTGAATATAAAACTGCAGGTGAAACTGTGTCAAAAATAGAAGTTGTGAATTTGAGATAAACATTATAGCTGCTTTTAATTTTAATGTAAAGGCTGAAAATGTCAGCAAGTTTCCTGTTTTTTTTTTGTTGTTTTACAGTTTTCTATTTTTTTATCATAAACATGAAGCAGAAACCATATATGTAAATTTGTTGGCCCATGGTTTTAGCCAAATCTTTAATTAAATATGTTAAAAAGCCAAGGGAGGCTGGGAGGTTTATATTGACAGGATTATGCATTTTAGCTGTGTGGACATGATTGGGAAAAGCAAGGCAGAGGTTTTTTGTTTGTTTGTTTCTATGATGGTCACAAAAAACTATACAAAATGAAATGCCTCACATTTTTTTTATAGCGCTGTATTTATTTTTCAGTTTTTAGTTATAGTCTGCACCCTTCAGTCTCTACAGATATCCAATTTTTCTTAAGTGGAATCAGTAAATACTGACAGAAAGGGAAGAGTTATGTATTCTGTGCTCTACAGATGAGCCTGTTTGTGTCTTTCTCTGAAACTGCTTGACAGTTATTACCATAACAAGGTTTAACAGCATAACTAAGTGATATGAGGGATTCTTGCTATGATAAAAGACAAGTGAAGATGGTCAAAATATACAATTAAATGCGTTATATATTCTTTTATAAATGATATATTATGCCCCAGGCTAGCCCGTAATGCGCTGCTGAAGCTAATTAATAAAACAACATGTTCCCAAGATCAGATATCAGGAGAAAACACAGCACTGGGATGAAGGGAACACTTTTGATCTCATTAATTTGTCAGAGAGAGGCACACGGCAGTTGTATTGCATATGCTGTAGGAGATACATACTGTGTGCAGGTCATTCGGACTGAAGCTAATCAGATTAAGATTTTCTCCAATTTCTCTTAATGGAAAATCCTAAATTTTAAAGCTACCGGCTCTTTTATGCTTTGAAGTTTAAACCGAAATCTAAAATTCCTTTATTTCAAATAAACGATTATGGGCCTTTTTGCTGCTTTCCTATTTATAAGAAGCTCTCAGAGGGGGTGGGAATGAGAACAGCTAAGGCAAGGGGCTGTTTCCATACGTAGCTGTCGGAGGCTGTTCTCAAACTGCCTCCACTAGATAATCTGACCTCGTTGACTCACGGCATCAGAGCAGGGAGTAGGTTGTGCTCTCAAAAGTTTTTCACCACAAGCAAGCAAAACTAACAAGAGTTGGAAAGTTGAGTGAGTGGATCTACTCATATTTTTCTACACTATGTGTATTGACATGTGAGCACAATTGAATAAATAGGGCATAGACACAGCCATAAGTCTCAGCAAACCAACTGGTCTGGGTTGGTTTGCTGACAGAATACACTGTGAAAACTTACAGTACATATAGGGAGTAATTGCAGTGGTCCCACTGTGCCTTTGTAGTGTAAATAACTCTTCTTTGCTGTTTGTCTATCGCAAGGAGCTCACATACCACATTATTGCTTTTATTAGCATAGCTGCTGTTATGTGTTTAGATGCTTGTTTGTAGCACCTTTTGTATAACACAGTTTGACTTCCGTAGCGGTCTTTGTACAAGACGTGAACCCAGAATCCCTAATAATTCAATCATAAATCAATAATTGATTTACAGCTGGACTCCTAGTGTTCAGTTCTGCTGGCCGGAGTACTAATGAGCTCATGTCACGGCGAGGTGTCTGTCTGTTCATCCACAATTCACAAAAATCGCTGCTTCTCCTCAGGTATTGATCAGACTTTAGTGCAACTTGCACACAATGATCAGCCGAGTCTCCACCCAAATTGTGCTCAAGGTCAAGGTGACATTTGTCATTTTATGGACTTTTATGGGCTTTTTATTGTGATGGATGGTGATCCGGATGATCTGCTAAGCTACTGATGTCCTGGTTTTCCCTGCGAGTTTTCTATCTGTCTATCCTCCATCTATTTTTCTATTTCTTTCAGTTTTGCTTGTATTGATTATAGATGCTCTGTCTGCCTGACTGTGTGCACTCTATCCACAAGTGATTTGCACTCACACCATTGGCTGTGCTTCATATTGACTTACATTAATGATTTAGTGCTGCAGCTTTCCTTAAGGAACAGTTGCTAGCAGTGTAATCGCCATTATTTGTAACCTTTTTCCCCGTCTTAGTCTGATATGTTTATGGTTCAGTAGCAACAGCCAAGGCTGGTGTTTGCTAGGTGCTGCTAACGGAAGGGAAAAACTGAGGCCCATGAAGTGGCTCAGGCCTTTATTGATCAAAGTGTGGGAGTCTGTCTTGACGGCGTGTCTTTCTGTCTTACTCCGTGCCTCTGTGGGATGGAGCTATCAGCTATCAGTCTGCTCTGTCAGCACTGGTGAGAAAGGAAAGAAGCAGGTAATGAAAGAGGAAATTGATGAAAACAATGAGAGACAGAAGGAAAAGGAGACAGGATTAGAGATGAGAGCAAGCTGATGCGAGAGAGCTTCAATGTAAATCTCAGGGGTTCCCCTACTGGTGGATATAGCATCATCATCTTGTCTCATTAGAGTGCAGCAAGGTTTGATGATTTGTTGCTTACGAGACTGTGTAACCCAGTTTTTAAACATTTTGGGGTGAAAATTCAGTTCGCATTGAACAGAACTCGTGCAGCTGTCAAGATGTCAAAATGAAAGCTGTGACATGAGTAGAAAGAGCTCCTTATGTTTCCTCTAACATACAGCTTCATTTTAATTTCCATCTTTCTCTTTAGGACCTTGTATTTTAGTAATCCCATCGTTTATGTAGGTAGTTGGAGCATATGGAAATGTTTGCTAATAACCAGTCATTTGTAGGGCTGTGCGATATGACCAAAATCTCATATCCTGATAATGTTTAACATTTTCTGTAAATTCTGTGAATCTCGGGCAGCTGAAGTGTTTCCAGCTGGGTCGTGTATCTGGAGTCGAGTGTTTTACCGATGCATGAAACTATACATTTTTAGACATAGGTTGTAACGGCCGCCATTTTCTTTGCAGTGTGCTGCGGGGAAAAGCCTGTTCTAATGTTTGAGTCTAAGGTTTATTTTTTAGCACCTAACGGCTCTTTTTTGCTTCTCATCGGTAAACACTCTGCATACTATTTCACGTGATTCAGTTTATTTTGAAAAGTCTCAACAGGATCTTGAGCTTTATTGTGAAAGGTTTATGTGGAAAATAAACAAGCGGACACGTAATGGTTTTACCATCGTTGTTGCTAACGACAACGCATAAAAACAGGCGCTTGTCCATCCATAGTGTGGTTATATCAAATATAAGAGAAAGAGAGAACTTTAAGAAATTAAAACAATGAAAAAATATTGCCGTAAACAGTTTGTTTTGCAACACCACGAAACAAACGATAGCGTAAAATGAAATGATAGAGGTTTTTATATCGTCATCCGATATATATCGTTATATCGAACAGCCCTAGTCATTTGTATAGTGTTTTATATCATCTTTTCTTTTAAAGATTGATATCGGACTTTGCAGCCTTGGTACATGTGCTTCTTTAACAATCCAAACCTCTTTGCTCTCCAAAGACAATAAAGTTGAAAGCTGAAGCTCGGCTGGACCTTCTACGCCAAGTTGGGGTTGCCGTGGATACCTGGCTAAAGAGCGCCATGAACCAGGTGTGTATTGTCAGTGAGTGTTGGGAAAGCATGCAGGTATGCTGTGTGCTCATGTGCATGTCCCTGACCTGTGTGAAGATTTATTTGATATGCGTATGGTTGTGTTCGCAGTCATATCTTTGAGCACTTTTTTTTGTTGTTGTTTGTATATTTTGTGTGTATGTGTCTGCCTGTTTGCAATATGTGTATAAACCCCTGACTCTCTCCGTGCATGCTGTAGGTGATGGAGGAGCTGGAGAATGAACGCTGGGCCAGCTACACTTCCCACGACCCCTCACTGTCGGTGAGACACAGCCCCTCACTACATCTGCGTTGCAGCTATTTTTTGCCAAGCCAGAACAATTAAACTTGTCTACGACTGGACAAAATTTGGACAAAATATTTAAAATGTATATATTTAAAAGTATTTTTAAACAAAACATGGGTCCTAATGTTAGTACCAGCCTGCAATATCTGTTCTCACTTGGCTAGAAAATGCAATTCCTACACCTACAGGGTAAATAACAAACTATATGACAAAGATGAATGTGCCCACCTACTGGATGTTTAGTGCTTTGGCTGTTGGAGTCTTAGGCTTTTTAAAGTGGATGTAATCATATGTAGGAGCTGATTAGGTCTAGTGCTAACTAGAGGTCTGGTTTCTGGGGAGATCAGTCCACAACTGATGTGTTGCATTGTTTGTTTTCCTTTTCATGTATGTGTCTCACTATATTAGCAGTGTGTTTGAGATCATTATCACGCTGAAGTATGAAGCCACTGACAATCAGACAGTTTCAAAGTGGTATACATGGTGGATCACTATCTGTCTTTTCTATGTTCACCACTTGCTGAAATGCAAATCATCATCTTCACCGTGTTTTACAGATGGCTGTAGACACTCACTGTTGAACCTTTTTTTTTTTATCTCCATCAACAATTTGGACCTGAAATTTGAAATTTGTATTCATTACTCCATCAGACCAGCTGCCACTGATTTTCAGTCGAGTTCTCGTGTAATTTGCCGTACCTCAGTCTTTTATCCCAGTTTCCTTTTATTAAGAAGTGCTTCTTGACATCCACCCCTTCTACCGAGAGCATTTCTGAATGGATCAGCTGCTTCTCTCAGGTTTTTTTTTTTACACATGCCACTTGTTCTCTTGTCCTCTACCTGTCCAGTTTGCTCAATTTTTTTAAGGACACACTGCACGCCATGCTGAGTTATGCCAAGCTTTTAGCTAATAGCTCTTTGGAAATCACCTTATTACTATTTTAAGGTGTTTGAAAGCCTGGAGAACTATAGCTAAAGAGGACTTTAAAACGTTAAAATAATTTCTGGCTCCTTGTAAGCAAAATATAAAGAAATGGCTCAAGACTTTTGCACACTTTTTTGTAACTGTGTTTATTGCATTGACACTGGCCTGCTGTACCCACTTAAATGAACACCCTCACATCAGTAAACTGTATATGATCTTTTGGTTTCCCAACTGTCTCTCAGTAAATTCTTCAAATTCACTACACAAGCACGGCACTCAATTCAGCACATTCAAAAATGAAATGTTAAACTTTTAACACACGGGCTCATGGCTACTCATTCTTTATGGTTTCATTATCCGTGAAAATCTCCCAACCAGAGTAGCTCTCCTGACAGATTACTTTCTGAAAGATGTAAATTGATAAATAATTGACCTTGGCCCTGCTGCCTAATCATCTATCACACCAGTTAAAGACTCTTAAAACGCCTCACTTCCTCAGTGGAATACTGATGTAGTTCTCTCTTAACTTTATTTCACAGCTCTTAGCTTTAATGACAAAGTAGACAGTTATGACGTCTTTTGTGTATCATCTCATCATGTTTGTGAAAGTGTGCGCATACTGTATGAATGTGCTAATGGGTCCCAAGTTTTTCATGCTCTGTGCAGAACTCCACCCTAAAAATATTAGACACTTTAGAAATACAGCTTTTATCAGAGGTATTTTAGGTATTTTATTATGAAGTATCAAAGAGCCATATATAAACTATACACTGTCTGTAATTCAGCCTTACGTGCTGTGTTCTTTTGTGTAGGGATATTTGTGCGTAATTATGTTTGTGCATTTGTATGTGAGTTGTCTTCTCTGCATTAGCTTTACAGGGAGGCAAGTGTGCCAATCACTAGTAGAGTGATCCCACATGGGGCTTTGTGAGGAGACGTGTGTCTGTCTGTCTGTCAACAAGACTAAACATAGCCAGTCTGCTTTATTGGAAGCACTTGACATTCTGCTCATGTGATATTGCAGCTTGCAGCTAACACTAGAGAGAAAAAGAGAGAGAGAGAGACACTGAACTTAAGAAAGAGAGAAAATGGAGAGAGAGATGAGCTAAATGGAAAAAGAATGAAACAGGCATTTGTGCAGTTAAAGGGTAAAAGAAGCAGCAGCAGAGAGACAAGTACTGAAGAATGAGAAAAGTTAATTGGCTGTAAAAAAAAAAAAAAGAAGAAGAAGAAGAGGAAGAGGAGGGGGTATGAGGTGAAGGAGAAGAGCAGAGATGAGGAGAAAGTCTTGTCAGAGCAGAGGCATTGGAGGTGAGAAAGGTGGGGGTGAAAACAGCCAATAACTTGCTGTGATGTGATTTTATACTGTAAGAGATATAAGGTGTGGCATGTTTGCTCAGACAAAATGGTCCCCACACCTTGAGTCTCCTCAAGATTTGATCACAGTGCACAAAGCTGCAGGTCAAATCCAATTTGTAATGAGCCAATCACATGGCATCAACTAATTTCTGCATGTAGATATGGTTAAGATGACCTGCTGACTAACTGAGCATCAGAATGAGGAAGGAGGCTGATTTAAGTGAATGTGGTGTAAGCATTTCAGAAGCTGCTGATCTACTGGGACTTTGACACATAACCATCTCTATTTACAGAAAAAAGTCTAAAAATAGAAAATGTCTACAAGGGGTCAGTTCTGTGGGTGAAAATGAACACAAACTCAGATGATCAGTCATTACAGTCAAGGTATGCAGAAGAGCATCTCTAAACATACATCGTGCTTTAAAGCAGATTGGCTGTAGCAGCAGAAGACCGCATTTCTGCTGCAGTGTTCGGATAGTATTTGGTCACATAGCACACAGCATAAAAGCATGAATCCCTTGCTGGCTGCTGGTGATGGTGTGGGAGATATTTTCTTGTCACCTGATCCCTTTAGTACCAACTGAGCATCATTTAAATGCCACAGATATGCCGTGGCGGACAAAACTGTCAACTGTGTGATGCCATCATGTCAATATGGACCCAAATCTCTGATTAATTCAACAAGGTGCTGGAATCACCTTGTTGAATGTATGCAATGAAGCATTAAAGCAGTTATAAAGGCAAAAGGGGTCAAAGCCACAAGAAAGATGTGCTTAATAGTGTCCAGTGAGTGTATGTCTCAAAATATTTTATACTAAAGATAGTCAGGAGGGTTAAAATTTTGAACAATATTTATCTTCTTTTGACTGCATTTTAAAACTTCTCTTGCCCTATTTACAAGATTTGTCTGTTGTAGGCGCTTGCTGAAAACTCAGTGTGGTTTAGATGTCATTAAAAGAACAGACCAGGAGGCACATTGAGTATTCAGGCATATGACAGCAGTTAATCTGACATAGATTTTATTTGGAGAGCCTGGGGAGACTGACAGCAGCAAAGAAAGCTGGGACATTGTTATTAACAGGATGCAAGAAAAAGAGACAGTAAGAGAAGGGAAGGAAAAGTCAGAAGTGACCGATAACAAAGAAAGAACAAAGGATTGATGTAGTGCGAGTAATAATCTGCACAGGAGGTGACAGAAACACAATGAGAGTAGGGAGCAGGCTCTCTCCTCGGCTGTTTCTTCATCCCACTCAGGTTTATTAATCTGAATGAAATACTGCAAGCCTTAAAAACCTCAGGCCTCTCAGACAGCAACTGCCTTCATTACAATAACACTTTTGCAGTTATTACCTCCAGGAACAGTCAAATCTTGCACTGGCCTGTGTCTCCGCTGTATTGGTACATATACTGAGATGTATATTTTGTGGTACTTTATAGGGTTATTACTGGAATACATACTGGCCTTTACTTCAGGGTTTAAAAGGAACTGGTCTCTGGGCTAAGCAGCGTATTCTTAAATCAACAAAGAGGATAAGCTTAATGTGAACCAACAAACAAGCAGCCACTAAAGAAATGTGGCCCTGACTGAAGCCTCCACGCCGTAGGTTCTACATGGCTGTGCTTGAAATCACCTTCTCTTTACAATGAAATTACCCTTGTCCAGGTAGTAGTGATAAATGATGTGTTACATCAGGGGTTTATTATTTAACATGGAGACTTATCAATTACTAACAGACCGCAGCAGTGTTTATTTTATGTGGTTCAGACATGTCAGTAACTATTGAAAGGATCACAGGACTGTGTCGTGATGTTTAGGTGAAACACACTCACACTCAGTAAACCTTTGGCTTATCCTGTAACACATTTTCCTGAAAATGAAGTCATCTTCATGGCAGCACATCACTTAGGATGGCGTGGTTTTTAGGGAACTGTATCCAAACTGCTGAATGGATGGCCATGAATGTTGTGTTGGTGTGCACATTTATGTGCCCCTCAAGATTCATTTTAATAAAACTGATGTTCCCCAGATCTCACTTTTTCATGCGTTAGCAGGACAAAACAGCAAAAATTAAGGCCAGTACTGTCAGTTTAACTATTACTGTGTGTTTACCAAGCTAATTATAGTCAGTACTTATTCATATGGTAAATGCTATTGTTATTCTATTTATTTTAGAAATCATGGCTGAACAATATACAGCATCACGGCAGATGTAACGTTTTTATTATGCAGGTTACAGTTTTAAAGAAGCACAAACATAAGTCCATGTTTATATTTCTTCTAGGGAAGTATGCTCACAATCAGGAAAACAAAAAAAGGAGGAAGAGAGGTCTATACATTATTTTTTAACAAAAGCAATGTTTTGATTCATCATCATCTCCCTGAGGTCAGCTCAGGTCAGCAGGTCAACAGGAAAAATGACCAGAAACACCTCAAGATTGCAGCAGCCATGCATCCTCAGATCCAAGAAAAAAACGTAGGAGTGACATTATCTAAAATACTTAGCAGCCATTTCCTGAAATTAATTGGACGACAATTTTCCAGTACAGATTATTATCAGGTAAATATCAGAGCATTAAATCCAGTCTCTTTGTACAGCAAAAATAAATGACGTGTGTACAAATGTGTTTAGGCTCTTGATACAAAATACAAGACTTTAAAGCCCAAATTACACTGGATACAAATTCAATACAAGAGCTTTAAAAAGAAAAATAAAACATATTAAAAGCCTTTGGTAACATGTTACCAAGTGGGTAAAAACAGAAAGCCTTCCTCCTAAAACGAATAGTGTTAATGACACACCCATGTCAAGGTGCAAAAACATGCCACAGTGTGTGTTTTTCCAACATAGGCTAGCCAACATGGGCAATTCCCTATTTTCTTACCCATTCCCTCAGATAGTTTTGATAACAGTTTCTTTTTTTATTACAGCATCATATGTCAAACTCTGGAGATTAACTAAAGTACAAAAGACATACGTGTTTTGTTGTGCACCGTTATAGAGTTTACTGTGTCAACAGAAATCTGATGACTAAACACAATGAACTGAG